AGCTCGGGGAAGGTTCAGCCCCTCTCCCCCCGGCCCCGGGGAGCTCGGGGAAGGCACAATCCCTCTCCCACCGGCCCTGGGGAGCTTGGGGAAGGTGCAGTCCCTCTCCCACCGGCCCCAGGGAGCTCGGGGAAGGTGCAGTCCCTCTCCCACCGGCCCCAGGCTGGCCCTGCTACGTTTCTCCTAAAAGCGAGTCCTGGCCACGTGTGGAGGTCGCGCTCCCGGGCTCGCCCCGGTCCCACCCAGCCGCGTCTCCTTCGTCCCCGCAGCCTCACACCCTGCCTGGCCAAAACCAGCACGGTGCTGGGTCGGCGAACCTGGCTCCATTCAGTGCAAGCAGGAACGAGCTGTGTCCTTACGGTGTTAGCAGCTGTGCTTTCTTGTTAGCGACAGAAATTCTGAGTGCTGTGCAAAATCTCTGCGTTGCTATGGTTATAGCACAGCCATTCCCAGGGTCTCCCCGAAGCAGCTAGAAATGAGAAGAATCCAAGGGACACTATGAAAGTAATTCCCAGTAGCACAGGGTTTTCAGATGTTTCTCCTGCTGTCAGTGGGGAATGAAAGTGGCAAACTAGGTTAGTGCCATCGTCTTAGAACTAAGTAATATAAAATTCATTTACAGCTGGAAACTTTTCAATTTAAATTACCTCCCAGGAGGTTTCCAGCTTAAAACTTTGGGGCTAATTTCTACAAGCGTTTGCAGGTTTTTTACCCCCAAAGCTATAGCTGTCCATGTATTCTCCTATCTCCCCTCTGTCCTTCACTGATTTTCACCCTGCGCGTTCGTAGTCTGCGCTGGCTCTTTCTCTGCTGTGAGCACAGCGAACAGAACGGTCCCCAGGATCATCGTCACCACCGACGTGGGATGAGTCCCCCTGCGCCAGGCCGTGAAGGGGCTGCTCCGGTCCCGCCCTCGCCATCTGCGGGACCGGGGGTCTCCGGCCCCGCACCCCCGCCCGCCGCAGCGGGTAATTGCCGGCGCGCGGTAATGGAGACTGACAGTTTCATCTTTCAGCTATTTATCAGTTGGCGCTCCGCACGTCAGGTGTCACAGGAACATGACAACTCTTGTCAGGGAAACAAGAGAGTCCTCTGACAGGCTTTCCGTTGCATTTCTTCACCTGGCACTCCCAGCATTAGCACTACGCCTAAACAACTTCATTCATTATTCAAAAACAAGGAAAAAACCCAGAGAGATCCCAACGAAACAGATAACTTTTTTTGCATCCTAAAAATGCAGCTGATTTTGCTTCTTCGGCGCCTTCAGAACAACCTGTCTGGGTTCATTAAGAGCTGCTTCCCATGTTGCCAGCGAGCCCGCCAAGCAGGGGTCATCCTGCCAGCACGTGGGAGCCAGTCGTTTGCGATGAATGATTCATAACTCAGGCTGCTTTCTGATAAAATGCTCGTGTTAAAATTCTACATGTGCTCAGGAGGAAGAAATAAAAATTCCTCTCTATATTTTCATTAGATTTTCTAACAAATGACAACCCGGAGATCCATTCTCTTGTGTCCGTGTCCTTTGGGCAGATGCACTGTCCTCGTACCCGGGCTGCACCTGGCTGCCACCATCCTGGAGCCCCTCTCCATGCAAGCATCGCGGCGAGATGGTGAAGTCCAGCTTCTCTCTCATATTAAAAAAACCATACTGAAACAGAAGAAGAAAAAAGCGAAGGCTCCAGGAGGTGGCATTGTTCGTGTGCCTTCTTCCCTGGAAAAAGGCAAAAGCAGGGGTGTGGGCAGCGCGCGCCGTGACTCCCCTCCGCTCCCCTGCCACGTGGCCGCGTCACGGCAGTTATGAGCTGCACACTCTGTGTATTCGTGGCGTGTTTTTCGTGGCTCGGGGGTGTTTGATCATTAAGCGTAACGCCATGCTCTTCCAAGGTGCCACCGAAGCAGAAAACCTAGTGATGCTGTCCCAGATTTACTGGGGAGGGGAGCTCGGACGAACCCGAGACACAAGGCATGAGCCGTGGCAGCGCCAAGAGCTGCGTGGCGCCTTTTTCTTGCCTTCTGTTGCACCTCATTTGTCCCCCAGAAGCACCACGGCAGAGGAGCATCGCCCGTCTGTCCAGCGGCCATCGCGTGGCCCGGCAGCGCAGACTCCCCGTTTCGGTCTGGTTTGCGGGGCTGCGGCTCTGC